CTCTCTCTCTCTCTCTCTCTCTCTCTCTCTCTCTCTCTCTCTCTCTCTCTCTCTCTCTCTCTCTCTCTCTCTCTCTCTCTCTCTCTCACCCACATGGAGATGCAGGGCTACTGCCAGGGGTAGGAGCATTCCCCCGTAGCAAAAGTAGCTGCCTGCGGCTAACACTTGGCAGACTCAGTCAGTACCGGATTCTGGAAACGTGGAAGTAATTCAAAGTATATATATATATATATCGTCAAATAGAACTATATATATATCGTCAAATAGAACTGCCCGGTAAACCGTAGGCAGAGAGGGAGAAGAGGACAACAAACGAGGGGCTGTGACAAACTGTTTCGTCGGAGTTTCACCAACTCATCAGGATATATATATATATATATATATATATATGTTGAGCTAGCAACATGGACTCAAAAGGCTGCTGCAAAAAGCAGTTGCGCTTATGACCAAAATGCCGGTGTGCACGGATTCCCGGAATTGAGAGGGCGATCGAAGGCAAGTAGCGCTGACTCAAAAGGCTGCTGCAAAGAAGGGACAAGCTTATGAGACAAATGATGGTGTTTGCCGATGTCCGAAATTGGTCGGTAGACCATTGCGCAGCTGCCGAGCAGGGAAGAAACAGGGGAGAAAAGGATGAGAAGAAGGAAAGGACAAGAAGAGGAAGTAAGGCTAGGGAAGCACATCAGAGGAAGGAATGGTGAAGTGGGAGCACTCGAGCAAAAGATAACGGGTTCCATCAGGAAGACTCAGCACACACTTTTCAGCACACAGGCAAGCTTGTAACAGAGAAACAACCGCAGACAAGTTGTGGGACATGGGGATGCACACGATCCAGAGGTGGACAGAGAAAGAAGTCTGCTGGCTGTGTGGCTGCAGCCGGTCGAGTACGCAGGACCACCACACACAAGCATGCGCTACAGGCTCTCAACGTAACTGGCACAGAAATCCCTATGGATTCTTTTCATCTCAAGTCCAATTACTGAGCCATCAAACAAACATGCAGTGGCAAGGGTTACAACTTACTAGGCATCTTATGGAGTCCATTCTGCTCCATGATTGCCCTCGACAGTGGCTTCTGTGGGCTGTCTTAAAATAAACACACAAGAGGGATCAGGGTGGTCGTGGGGTGGGCAGAGGGGGGCAGTGACGGAGAGAACATCAACGAGCGGCACACAAGTACAAAAGGTGGACACACGTATGTGATGGCAGAGAGTCCACAATCAAAGAGACCAAGTGCATGCTCAGAAAGGGAGGGGGAAAGAGGGAGAGAGAGGGGGGGGCGGGAGGTGAGAGGGGCGAGCGAGCGCGCGCGCGCGAGAGAGAGAGAGAGAGAGAGAGGCACAGAATCTCCCGAAACCTGCAAATGTAATAAGTTGCTGAAAATACGCGTGCAACGGCGAAAGGAAAATGGAGAACAACGCAGAAGGGCCTTCGTTTGGAGCAACATTAGTCATTTGGAGTTGTGGATGAAGTCCGATGAACACAAGGATCCATGGACATCCGTCTGCCATCTGCCATCTGCCATCTGCCACCATTGTTCTTGAGTGTACAAGTCAACCATTCTGACTTGGCTACCTGTTAGCAAACGAGTACCGTGAGCAGCGGGAGGGTCAAAAAAAAAAGAGACAAAGAAAAAAAGGTAGCGTGAGGGTATGTTACTATGTTCCCTCTTTTACATCTTGTTTGTAAAATAATGCCAAAATTGTGCACATATTCATACGAATTGGCGACATCCCATTACCATTTCAGAAATTTTCAAGACCATTTCCTTCTAGCAAAAAGCTGCAAGGATTGGCAATTGGGAATCATTACAGCTGCTCAGATCAGCCATTCACTTTTCTTTTCTTTTCTTTTCCTTTTTCCTTTTCTTTTCTTTTCTTTTCTTTTCTTTTCTTTTCTTTTCTTTTCTTTTCTTTTCTTTTCTTTTCTTTTTTCCTTTCCTTTCCTTTTCTTTTCTTTTCTTTTCTTTTCTTTTCTTGGAACCATTCACTATTCTCTGACCAGGCTACCGTCTTCACCCGAAAAGAACGCCCGGTAATTAACGCTGTATCTGGACTGGAAGTTGCCCCAAATACAGCTATAATGACCGGCCATTCTATTCGGGTGAAGATGCTAGCAAGCAAACGATATTCCTTCTCGAACCTCCCCTCCCTCCCGACCAGAGTTCAAACTCTGTGCTTCGCTCATGGGCTTAGTTGTGACAACCAGAGTTCAAACTCGTGGGCTTAGATGCGACAACCAGAGTTCAAACTTGTGGGCTTAGTTSTGACARCCAGAGTTCAAACTTGTGGGCTTAGTTGYGACAACCAGAGTTCAAACTTGTGGGCTTAGTTGTGACAGCCAGAGTTCAAACTTGTGGGCTTAGTTGTGACAACCAGAGTTCAAACTTGTGGGCTTAGTTGTGACAACCAGAGTTCAAACTTGTGGGCTTAGTTGCGACAACCAGACTTCAAACCTCTCTCGGATGCCTGACAGAGCTTTAACTCTAGTTGTCACAACTCAGTGCACGAGTGAAGCACAGACCGCAAACACAGCTGAAGGTTGGTTAAAGGGGCAGAGGAATTGACATACCTGACAGGAGTGAATGCTAATCCTCCGCTTCTGAAAATAAGTCCCGCAAGAAGTGCCGCCCTCCGCATATGATAATCAGATGTCACAACATACACGTGTGTACTGGCACAAAATACAGTCCAACAAAGAGCGAAAATGAAAAGAAGGAAAATGGTCCAAATATCTCAGTAAGTGATTGTATTTCCTCTTCTGCCAGCATCATCTTAAACCACCAGTACTTGGCCCAGCTATCGCTGCCGAGCCTGGAATCCCCCTGCGCGCCAATTTTTGCCGAAGCGCCAGGGTACCGTTTCGAATTTTTTTGGCCGGCGCTTCCAGCCATTGAGGTCCGGTACCCCGAAGCCCGAACTTTGCGTAGCGTTAACGGCAACGGCCCGGGGCCGATGTATGGGCCAAGTACTGGTGGTTTAAACAACCAGTACACCCGGGCCTGCAGGTGCCTTACTGCGCGCCATGCTTTTCCAAACCGCCAGCAGCATTCTTTTTTCGCTGGTGCCACTAGCCATTGTGGTCCGGTAGGCCGAGCCAACCAAATTTCCGTAGGTGACGATTTTTCTTTTTCAGCAAGGCTGGGGCAGTGTACTGGCGGCTTAAGAGACATTACTTGTTTTGCTTTCCTTCCGGCTCTTCACATCTTTGCCTCCTTCCTCCTCTTCCTCCTCCTGCTCCTCCTCTCCTCCATTCCTTTTTTTTTTTTTTTTTAAGCAGATCAAATACAGTATTTTAGACCTCTCCACAAACACGTCCAGATTCAGACACTTATTCCATTCGTTTTTGCAAGTGGAATCTCGCCCTTATGCGTGTCATCCTCGCGCAGGGCCCATGCTAATCTTCTCTGTATCGTTCCAATTTTAACGGATGTCCCCGAGGACGACCTCTCCTCCATTTGTAACAACACTGCCAGCAGCTTTCGAACGCCAGAGCGCCCACCTACTGTTTCCTCCTCTCCATCCTCCTCTCCATTTGCTCCACAGCATCTCTCACTGTTTCTCCTATTACAAGTGGCAATATGGAAACACCCGAGCTCCCATTACTTATTTCACAGCCTCTCTTGTCTTGCCATTGTCTCATTATTGCTCTTCCCCTTGGTTTTCATTTCTTTGGTACTCCTATTTCTTATCATTCCTTCACATTCTCCTTCATATCTCATAAACTGTCCGTTCATTCCCCCTGCTTATCCTTGGTTTCTTCTCTCCCACGAACATTCCGCATGCTACTGCTGAACCCGCAATGCTCTGCAAACATGTGCTTTATTCAAATGTCCTGCCTTGTCCGAACAGAATGCACACTCATCATGACACTATACATCACGCGATCACGTGAAGAGTGAGCTGTGCTCAGGGGGGGAGAGTAGCTGGACAGGAGTGAGCAATCCAATGAAAACTTTCTCTGAGAATACCTCCTGCTGTTGTCATGTCTGCGGTCCATTTCCCTTCGCTCCAAAGTTTAGACCCCCGCTACCTCTGCTATGACAAATGACAGCTGCCTACCCACCTGGAGGGGTCTCCTTCAGAAAATATAGGCAAATCTCTCCAGGAAGTAAGAAAACAAGTGCTCGTCAGATCGTCAATCCACCGGGCCAACTGAAGGGAGCCTCCTTGTAACCGGGGAGGTTGCAAGAGGTAATGGTGGTCTGAGGTTTCGTACGATCGGATGACCAGGCAGACCCACACTTGCACTTCTCAAATCTTTTTCTGATCAAAGTTTCAAAAATGAATTTCAGAGATAAAACTAGATGACATGTTGCCGCTTTGCTTGCAAACAAAAAGAAGATCAGTGATGCATTAGTTGACGGAGGGGGCCACCTGGTTCATTCATTGAAGCACTCGTGACGGACGACGGCTTACCTCACATGCCCCTGTTCTCAATGAACGAACAGTTAGCAGCATCGAGATAGGTGGAGGAGGGCCCGGGGGGGGGGGGGGGGGGGGGGGGGGGGGGGGGGGGGGGGAGCGGGGTGGTGCAGAATACAGGCCATGCTTTGTGGTTGTTGATGCTGTGGGAGCAGGAACTGTTCTCGGCAATGGCAAGTGAGAAGAGACATGGTAGCCCAAGTGGGACTCTTATTGGTGCTCTGTCCTGCATGCCCTATTTCGGCGTAGATGCATTACGTTGTGATGCACCTCCCTTTCTACTTGCCGCAAAGCAAGACAACACTCCCCTTGCAACATAACAAATAGAGGAAAAAGATGGAGCGAACACAGAGTCAATAGGCATCCCTTTGTCGATGTTCCCGCCGTAGGAGCAGAAAAATATGTGAGCGATGGCGGGTCAACTAGCAATCTCTCTCTCTCT